GCACGGGCACAGGCAGTTTGGGAGGTTAAGCAGCAGTAAGGGAAAATAAAGGCAGTGTGGGACTGTGCCAAGTTTCCCCCAGAGCTGCATGGTAAAAGCAGCAGCCGTGGTTGGAGCAGGCTCGGCCCCGGCTAAGGCTGCTGTTGCCGTGGGCTGGGTGCTGCTCAGGCCGCGCTCGTTTGGCAGGGCTGTGCCTGTACCCACAGCTCCTGGGCCTCCTGTTTGCTTATATTTTTCATGCGTCTTTAACCCTCATCCGCTCTTTCATCCTGCTCCCTCTGGGAGCGCTTTCCGTGCTCCGCATCTCTGCTTAGCTTCGCATAGCTTCTGCTTCTGTGCTGTAATGACTCGCCTGAGGAATGTTTTGGTTTCATTCAATAGCTGAAACCTCCCCTACTCACACCCCTCTCACCACCTTCCCTCGCATCTGTGGCGCTGGCATCTGGCCCAGGATGTGCAGTAGTCGCTCCTTACCCACTGGCAGGTTTTTCCTCTGCTACCTTGCAGCCTTGCGGGCGAGGAGCTGTGTTTCATTCTGCTGAGAGAGGAGGTGCTTTAGCTTGCAGTTGCATCAGCTTCCAGCTTTGGATCTCAGGCTGAGGGCTGTAGAAAACACACCTAGGTGCTGTCTCCTGCTTCTGCCTTTGCTGTGAAGAGTGAGAGCTGTCGGATGGCTTCAATTTCCTTTCTTTTACACATTAGGAAGTTTGGGGCCCTGGAGGCTGCTTACCCTCAGTGCTGGTGGCTGACCCGGGCCAGCACTCGGGTTGTAAGCATGATGAGCAGGCGACCTTCAGCGCAAGGGCAGGCTGCACTGCTGTGATGGGCGGCAGCATTCAAAGGCAGGAGGAGTGCAAGGGGCAGGAACGGTCAGTGACATTAAAAACCCCATTGTGCAACTTTGAAATGCCCTTGCCAAAGCAGAGACTTAAATTCCCAATGTGAAAAGCTGGAGGGAAATGAGCAAACCCAGGTGCCTTTATGGTGCACTCTGAAATATGAAAAAAAAAATCAGGCAAAAAGCCTGGTTTGTGTTTGTCTCTTACAAATCATCATTAGCCTTGTGGCAAATAGTGCCACATGAAGCAACAGCTCTTGGCTGCTCCTGCAAGATCTGTTTCTTGGCCAAAGAAAAGATTTAGGTATTACTGGAATAAGGCAAAGCCCTTTGGGCTTGTGGCCATAGGTAAGGAGCACAATGGAGCGGGTGCTCTCCAGAACCCTTAAACGTTTTTGTCATCGCAGAGGGAATTTCTTAAGAAGGAAATCCATAAGAATGAGCTCTGCGTTTTCACAGAGTTCTCTGATTTGAGCATTTCTAGTCTGTTTTGCATAGTTCAACAGCTGCCCCATGAGGATGAAACCACTGTAGTTATTTGGAAGACACCTTGGCTTTCTCTGAGCGCAGCTGTGCTACATTTCTGCTCTTCCTTACCCCCTGCTGTGAGCTCTTCACTCTCCGTAAATTAGAAGCAATTTCCGTGCAGTCAAGGCTTAAATTACAGTTAAGCATGTTACACTCTATTTTGCCAGACCAGGCCCCAAAACATGCTGCCTGGGGCAGCATTGAGGCTGCTTTGGAGCTGCAAAAGAGCAGGGTCCAATTATTCCTGGATCCAGCAGGTTTTGCCCATCTCTGGTTGCTCAGATACTGCGATTTTCTTGTCTGAAACGTGATGTTGTGTAATGCTAGCAAAAGCAAAAGCATGTGCAGCCCTCACTCCCTGGAACTGTGTCCCGCCACCTACAGAAGAGCTGTTTCCTTCCAGCCAGGAGCTCTCCCTTGGCTGAGAGGGAAATACTCGGACAAACAGGCACAGACCCTGGGCACGAGAGTCCCCACCATGGGTACCAGAGCAGGGCAGAGATCCCAGACAGAGCCAATACCTCTATGTTAAAACTTGGCCGAAAGAGATGCAAATCCCTGTACTGCTCTGCATCAGCATGGCAGGAAGAGGGAAGGTAGAAATCTTGGAAGGAAACTGGGGAGGGACATGTAGCATGAAGGGAATATACTTTGCTTTCTCTGGATCAGTAAGGAAAACAGTCTGTGGAAAAGGCTTTAAGAAAAGGCACTGAGACCTTCACCTAGTTTTACCTCAAAGCAGCATTCAGCTTAGATCCTGTCATGTCTTTCAGAAGTACCTGAGGCATTGTTGATGCTGGCAGGAGGAGCCAGGGCTGATGGCATGGAACACAAGGGAGAAGCAGAAATGCCTGTGACAGTGTGGGGGTGAATTCAAAGTGCCAGTATCTGTTTGCAGCTGGCTAGATAGCAAAAGGCAGATCTAATTCCCTCAATGCCAAATGTGCAGAGTGACTGTTGTCCCTCAGCCAGACAATTGGAGAGGACAGATTATCCAAATGCAGCCAACTATGGGGTTTTTTCCCCCTTCTGGCTTTCTTCAGTTTTGCCTGTGAATTTTCACCCATCGCTGTATGTCTGTTGATAGAACAATCATTGAAAACTCCAGTTCATCCTTTCTTGGGGCAATTTTAGCAGATGCACACGCTCCAGGACCCCTAACAACAGTACTGCATGGCCAAAAAAAGGACTTGTCCCAAGGTAAAAATGCGGCAGTGCTTATATTTTTTCAACAAGGAAAGTTCAGGCCTGAGTGTGAATTCCTCCAGGGACTGAAATCGATCACTGCTTCTGGATTTAGATCGAATCCATGACTTTGCAGAAACACCATTTTACATCCTCTTGGTTTCCCCACATGTCATAGTCACTGAACTGTAGCTCTGCTCAGCCTTGTGGCCTCAGCTTCGCTCCACTGCCCTGTGTGAGCTGATTTCCTGTGCTGCTTCTGGCTGCCTTGCTCTGGGCTTGCTCAGAAGAGCTGTGGAGATGTTCTCCATTTCTCAGCCCACAGTTCAGGGGGCTTTTTGGTGACTTAAATGTTGTCAGTATTTGGCAGGAGCAAGACCAAGAGTAGTGCAGATTCCCCTTGGAAGCTGTTGTTTCTCAGGAGGTCAGACTGGCTACTCCTGTCAGTGCCACTAGCAGTAGGAGTGTCCTGTCACTGCCACGTCGCTTTGACCAGTGGCTTAGTGGGAGAAAGTGCAGGGATGGGTGGATGTCCCTGTACCAAGGCTCCAGGTATATGGAGGGGAGCTACAACCCCATGGTCTGCCTTCCAAATCTCTAACCTTCTTTTATGTATCTGCCAGAGTGGGTGTTTGGTTTCACTTGAATCCTTTAATTTGTCACAGTGCTTCTAAACCAATGAGTTAGTGGAGGTATTCAGAGAACTTTCATGGTGGGGAACAGGAGTCTTCAGCCCAACAGCCAAGGGCATACAGAAGTCTGAGAGAGAAAAGAGACTGGAAGTGGTGGTGGAGCTTTTGAACAGAGCTGTAATAAATCAGTGGGGCAGTTACCCAAGGTGAAATCTTTAAGCCAAGATAAGTTGTCTTTTTGAATGACAAGCTCTGCCAAGCACAACATAGGAGTGCTAAGACACTGCCTGAATGGCCTGCACTGCCCTGTGTTCTGCAGGCTGCTGCTTTCTTAAAGGACAGATGTTCAGATAGCTGAGACTTAACGCTTCGTTGTGACTTTGTTTGCAGGTCCATCACCAGAGCCTACTACAGGAACTCAGTTGGAGGACTCCTCCTCTTTGACATTACAAACCGCAGGTCCTTCCAGAATGTCCACGAGTGGCTAGAGGTAGAGGAGACCAGGGTGCCCGCCCAGCCATACCAGATTGTCTTTGTCTTGGTAGGTCACAAGTGTGACCTTGACACACAGCGCCAAGTCACCAGGCACGAGGCGGAGAAACTGGCTGCTGCTTATGGTATGAAGTACATTGAGACCTCGGCTCGGGATGCCATTAACGTGGAGAAGGCCTTCACTGATCTGACTCGTGATATATACGAGCTGGTTAAAAGGGGGGAGATTTCAATCCAGGAGGGATGGGAAGGGGTAAAGAGCGGGTTTGTCCCAAACGTAGTGCACTCTTCAGAAGAAGTGGTGAAATCAGATAGGCGATGCTTGTGCTGAGCTCTTCTAGTGAGGCGAGTGGTGATGAACTCTACTAACCAAACGTACTTTACTAAGCGAACTCAGTGTGACAGAAGGGAGAGCAACACTCCCGTTGTGAACAGCCTCCCACATTGTTTTGGACACCAGAACAGACCCCAGAAAGAAATGTTCTGTTCCAAATAACCTTTCAGAACTGGGGGCTACAAACCTGAAGGAGAGTGAGTGAGGGTGCATGTAGATGTTGTAAGGAGACAGGAAGCAGAAAGGAGGGGCTGCACGAGCCAGGAGAGAGTATACAGAGAGCTGGACGGGCTGGCACATGCCAGGGTACTGTACATGTCCTCTTTTAAGTCAATCCATAGCTCCCTGATGGGTATTGAAGCCACAGGATGGATACTTCAGTAGTATGACAAATGGGCAGACAGAGAGAAGGCAAGAGGACATTTCATTTGTGTCAGCTGTTTATTACCAGGAAGGTATAAAGGCAGCACAGATACCATTTCCTCATAAGGTCAGTTCCACAGGAGAAGTTTACTGACATGGTATGCACACTTCTGAGTTTTCTTTCTTACATTCTTGAACCTAGCTCGATAGCAAAGAATATTCTGTGGGATTTAAAGAGGAAAACTGTAGTTATATAATTGGTAATTAAAATTTAAATTATTTCCCCCCTCAATAGTGCTTTTCTTGCTGTGCTGAACTGGGAATCTAAGTGGCAACTCCTTCTGCAGTAGTAATTATTCAATGCGTTTTTTTACACATTGACTGTGTAGATGAGTACCCTGAAAGTACCCTGAGTTCAGGGCTTTCCAGTAGAATTAAGTGAGGAAGAGCATAAAGAGAGAAGCCTGTCCTCAGGTGTTACATCTCAAGGCTGGGGTGTTTTAGCCAGGTGGGACACACCAACATTTCTGTCTTGCTAACAGCTCTGTGCTGACCTTACCAGCAGGGTCACAAGGAGGAAGGTGAAAAACAAACCCAACAAAAAACAACTTGAAAAGCTTAACTCAGGTGCGTCAGACATCCTAAAAGGTTAGATTTGCTTTTAAAGAAGTTAAACAGCTTCCATCAATACTTTCTGCTGTTACAGTGTCATTTTCTTTCTTGGCCTCTGTGGAAGAGAACTAGTGCTGGGGAAGGTGGAGCACACAGCAGGAGTGTCTGAGCAGGAGGAAAGGAAAACCACAGGACATGCTCAAGAGTAAATTTTGTTTTCCTCCATGTTTTAATTTGACAAAAGAGGATCCATCTCAGGCTGGCCATCATGGGATGGCAGCTGTGTTACAAAAGCTGTAGGCAGGTGGATGTTTGCTGGGAATGCCATTCACTTACTTAGAAACTTTGCTTCTGCCAGGTTTTAACTCAAGCTTTTTACGTGCAGCAGGGTGACTGTGCCTCTGTAGCAAACTAGGGAAGTTCAGCCTGTTGAACTTGCGTTTGAAAGCTTGATACACCAAAACTGCAATGGGCAGGAGGAAGGGATTAGGTGAAAACCACAGGAAGCATCTAGTGTTTGATGTCAGGCCTCTGAGTAGAGAAGAATAAAATACTTGCTCCAGCTTTTTAATCTACCCCATCTATAGAAGTGTGGGTCTTGATTGCTGTTGAGTTCAGACTGTTTCTCCCTTTGAGCCTGTTTTCACAGTTTGCAGCAGCACAGGGGCGGGTCTGTATGAAGAAAAAAAAATCTGTGGTTTCTGTATTGAAGCCGTAAAAACAAACAACAAACCCACAGCAAACCCAACCCAACAACCCAAAGCCTGAACACTTATTTTCAGTGTTCTAGAAACAATGTCAGTTCTGGGCTCTGCAGGGGATCAGCAGTGCTGCACCTGCTGGGAGGGCACAGGTAGCAAATGCCAGAAGGGAGGGGTGGCAGTGGCCTGGGCCTTTTTGGTGAGCTTGTCGCTGTTTGAAGTACCAAACAGCTTGTGCTAAAGCCCAGTGACTTCCAGCACATTCACCTGTGGTTGAGTTGAGTGCCCTGAATATTTGAAAAAAAAAAATCCCTCTACACACATTGTTTCTAGGTGAGCAGAGCTGGAGAAGATTGGTGCAGGGAATGCCCCAGGAGCGTGGCTGCTGTGGGCTGAGGCCAGGGCAGTGCACAGGGTTTGCTCGGACCAGGTCAGTCATTGCATTTTCACAAAGGCAAAGATAGACATGTACCAAAGGGTCACATTCTTTGTTCTCTGGATGGAAAGTTCCCCAAGCAGCTGCTTTGGATTTTCAGGGGGCAGCTGGTCATGAGGTGTGTCTTGGGGTACCTGGCTGAGGGTCACAGCAGCCCCAAGGGCAGAGCTGAGTGCGACATGAGGGGCAGTGAGCAGTTGGATCAGTCAGGAGTTGGATCAGACAACATTTTAGCAATAGTAAAATTCTCTAATTCCCCATGTGGGATCCTGACCAGATGGGGAAGATCACTTTTCATGAGACAACCAATATTTTATTTAATGGGTTTTGGACATTCCCCTTTCCTGCTCCCAGGGAGAAATTCCAGAAAGCCTAAGCCAGTAAGTGCATTCAGGCCTTCAGAGAGTAGATCTTCAATTTAAATATAGAAGTGTTGTAATTCTAAAGAGGAACAGTACAGAAGGAAATGTACACAGTCTTAACTACTTAGAGGTAATAAATTGTTATATTAAACGATAGAGAAATCATTATCTACATCTTTTTCTAATTCCTTGCATTTTCTAGACAGCTTATTAAAATATAGGAAATGTAGATTCATCTGTACAAAATTTGGAATGTTTTTTTCTAAGACGAAGAACTTATAGGATATGCTAAGAATTCTTTTCTAACAACTGGTTTTAATGCTTTGACTTAGAGGAATCAGGTGGTGATACCTTTCACAAGATAAAGGTCAGGAGCTCTTATACTCTAGGACAAAAAAAAAAGAAAAAAAAAAAGAAAAAGCTAACTTTCTGTGGTCCCTGCCACATGTTAAAAACAATCTGCATGTTAGACTGAACTTGCTCAGAACCTCCAGACTAAAAGCCTATACACTGTCCTCGCTTTGTTATGCACTGTACCGAAATGTGAAAATAACGCTGTACTTAGCTGTCTGTATGTGACTGACAATATGCTTGTATTTAGCAACATGGGTACTATGTGATAATGTGAAATTCAAAACTTGTAAAGAAACTTTGGTGGTTTTTTTTTTTTTACCCCCTTTCCCACTCTCTCTGAGTGGGTTCTCTGCTCCCTGTCCCCACTCTGCTGTGGCAGCCTGACACGGCCTGGCTTGGCCATCACACCTCACAGGTGCTGCACACCATTCTCTGTAGGCTCTGCTTTGCTCTGCAGAACCAACCCCTCACTGAGGAACAACAGCCCCAGAAGCCTCCCTGCACTGGCAGCCAAACCATCCTTGGCCCCTCCAGGAGGCCTTTGTCAGCAGCAGGCAGGGGCTGGTGGCACAGCAGCTACAGCGGCTGCTGCCAACTTACCTGCTGCTTGTGCTCAAAGTGGCAAAGACTTAACAGCAAAGGCCACAGCAGACCTGGACAAAGATTGGTCATAGGGAACCTTGAGCTCTCGTCTGTGAGTACTGGGTTATTTCTTTGCACTTCATATGAAACACACAAACCCCAAAACTTGAGTTATGATGGTCAGTCATCACCCATCCCCCTGAAGCAGATGCCTTTGAACCTAGGAGCAATTTCAGCTCCAAGGCTGTCTCCCCTGCCATGCAGCAGTGGCTCACAGAGCTGATTTTGCTCAGTACTGCTTTTGCTGGGCAAAAATGCTTAACTGGTTGTTTCGTTGTGCACAACAAAGGCAATTGCTGCCTTAGGCCCAGCCGTGGGGGGGGCAGTACACTGCAGCCTGTTGGGATCTCATTAATCCAAATTGAAGAGAAAATTGCAGGAGAAATCAGGACATGTCTGCAGCTGCCTTTCCATCATTGCTGATGCTCCAAAAAAGTAAGGGAGAGCAGCAGCCTGAGCAGCCTCACATCCTGCCTGCCATAGCAGATACCTGTTGGAGAATGCATTAGAGCTCCACATTTCCCTGCTGCAGCCACAGACACTAAAACAAACATCACCCTGGGGGAAGGTACCGATGAACCCAGCCCAGGTACTTACTGATGACCAGTGCTAAGGGTTTACCTGCTCTCTGCCCTTCCCTGCAGCTCATTCTGACAGGCACAGTGCTGTTAAATCACTTGCTTTCAGCCACCAATTCAATGTGCTGACTCACACTCCTCCTTTCATTCACGCCAGGATTCAGCAGCCACTTTTCACGTCTGCTGCTTCAATGGAATTTTTCAGCCCCCCTGCCCTCAATTAAGGGAGGGAAACATAAAAGATCACACATCAGATTCCGGACTTTCACACAAAGAAAGATGCACAAAACCAGCTGTTTGCCACAACTGTTTAGTTTTACTATTTTAATATCATGAAATAAAAGTACAAAAAATTTACAGGTATATTGTTTCTTACATGAAGATCGAACAGTTAACATTTGCATTTATTTTGCAGTGAAACCTGTACTCCCAGTCACAGAATGTGAATATTAGCCACTGACATCACCACTGAGCATTTAATTTTAGAAAGAAACTGCAGAGGTAAAAGGCAACAATCTTGCAAAAGGCTTCGTAGGGACCAAAAAAATACTTCAACTGTTAACACCAGAGGTCATGTTCCAGCCAACCATCCTGATCTAACACAGGTTTCACCACCTGGGAGGCTGAGAGTTGACATTTGAACTGGACATCTGGGCTAAGGGCTCAGATATGGGGTTCTTGCTCACAGGCTGTTGGCGTTCGGGTGTCCTTGTTCGATGCATTTGCCAACATAAGCAACATGTGCACATGTGAGAAAGAAGGGGGTGAGACCTCCTGCAGGTTTGACATCACTTGTGCTGTTCACTCCATTTACTCTTCTGGGGACATATCACAACATGCTGTATGTAAAGTGCTGAGAGCTCAGTAAGAGGCAGTTAGCTAACCCATGATTACTACACACAAGTTTATCCAAGGTGGATATCCAGGAATGCTTTGCAGACTGATGCTGCCAATTAACTGACCGAAACAAAACCTAAGACTTCACTCTAGTTTTGTTTCCTAGAACATTACAGCTGCACATCTTCCCAACCCAAGTCAAAGTGAATTTATCAGCTGTACAGAGATGAAAAAGAAAAGCCCTGCATTGCCTTAACCCGCAATAATGTCAGGCTCTATTCCATACGTGTCCCTCAGCTCTTCAGACAGGCTTTCAGGCAGAAATTTATTTATGACAGACTGGTCTGATCAGAATACTACGTCCTTTGCTGGACTGTGTGGTGCCTTTTCAAATAATTCATCTCATGAAGCATGCATGAAACCAAATTCTGAGTTTACAAATAAATAAAATGGTGCTCACCATTAGTTTTTATATATTTTACCATTTACTGAAATGCTGAAAGTAACTCAGTCCCGAATGAAGTTTGGGGGTGTTTAAATAAAAAATATTTGGAGATTGAAACCACATTTAAAATTGGCAAAACTATGCTTTGTTTTTCGAAGGGTCTTGCTTGTTTCTTCTCTTTACGTCCCAATTATAAACTCTAGCCATATCTGAGGGGTGGAATTAAGGAGACAGCTCATGCAATCAGAAAAGAGAAAAAACCCCAAACAATGTGTATTAAAAATGGGGCGAAGCAGGTTATAGAGTTGGTATATATACAGTCAGTATAGAAACCATTTAATGAAAGGAATGACTTGAAGTTTCAACACACAGAACACTGGTAACTTAGTAACTGCAGCATTTATACCATTACTTAAAAACCTCCAAACAGATACTGCAGAGAAACACACTTTTAGTTTTACTTACAGGTACTCTGCTGAATTCAGCCAACCTGCCCATATCAGCTGCATTCACCTATTTGAGGCATCCAGAACTTCTGCAGCACTAAGACAGCTTAAGCATCAGCTTGATAGAACAAGCAGCTGTGCCTTTGTTTACTGAATCCAATGCTTCATTTGATGGCTACACTCACCATAAAAGTAGGCTTTAAGTAGAAAATATACAAAACAACCCCACACCCCAGAGGTGGTTCATGACAGTGTAAAGAAGGAAGACCAATGCTGAGCACAGCCTGAGCTAGAGCCAGGCTTGCTGCAGCAGGGCTCGTGCATCAGCTGTGATGAGCAATAGCCCCAAGAATAATACTCATACACTCTGGAGAGGAAGGAGGAATCACTTCACTTTGAAATGGCCACCTGGGCATCAATCCACTGCACCAATCAACTTCCAACTCACTCCAGAGTCAGTGGGTTTGCCACCACAGCCAGAGGTTTCATGGGGACCCAAACACAGGCTCTGCTACCCCTAACACACCAGCCCTCAGCTCAGCCCTGCAAGCACAACATTCCGTTTCACTGCCACAACAGGTTAAGTTCCTGGAGTTCTACAGGATATAAGGGCAGCCAATCTAGGGGAAAAACACATCAGGAAACTGGTCGTTACCTGATGTTGGCTCCTGTCCTCTCCCACAAAAGAACCAAAAGGATACTGACTTCTGTAGTGGTGAACTGATCTCTGAGAAAATCCAGGTCTTCCTCTAGAAGATCGAGGTTTCTTGTGGCTGTTGACAAATTCTTTTCTAACAGAGCCTGAGCTTCATCAATATCATATTCAAGCATCACATTGGCCTAGAAAAGAAAGATTGATAAAAGCTTTTACTGTTGCATTGTAAGGACTAAGCCATACTAGGCTTATTGTGTATAACTTAGCACATTAACAACAGACTGTCCTGACAGGCTAAGACAACAAGATTCAGGACAGGCAATGCCAGAATCCAGCTGAGGCCTCCACCCCTTCAGTAACCAAGAAATAAATCCCCACAGTGACTTGAAGTTCTCTTTCCATAGCTAAGCAAGGAGAGGTTTCTCTCCCTGTGGATCACATTCAGCCTTTCAGGTATCAGCATCTCATCTGCACTGTATTTCAAAAGTGAGAGCCCTCATGTATCTTAGCAGCACTTTTCAGGTGCTACACAACTCTGAGAGGTTTTGTTGGATCCAAGGTTAACCTTAGGCTCTGTGTGGAACACCAACAAACAGCTCAGTGGCACTGGTCTGTAATGAGAGCTGTCACAGGTACCTACAACAGGCACAAAGTCCTATCCAACACTGCAGTGGGTTTTAACGCACAAATGGTTATTTCAGCAAGAAGTTGCCACAGAAGGAGATAAAAGAGCAGTATCAGGGGAAGATGCACCAATGAAGCTTTGTCCCACAGAAGAACTGTGCACTGTGCAGAGCCATGTGCTGTGACAGACAGGATCCCAGAGCTGAGAGTCAGATAAACCCTTTTCTTTAAAACAAGGCTGGCAGAGTTCCCTCAGTAGCAGTGACAGCCCAACATGCAGAATGTAAGCAACAAGGAGGAAAAAGGCAGAAGGCCAAGAACACCTCAATAAAATACACTGCTTGTGGCATTTCATTACAGTTTTTCAGTATGAATTGTCAACAGGATGATCTTTCTCTGATGTTTTGTTACAAGATAAACCTGGGATGCTCCATGAAAGTGTTTGTGAATTCTGAAGACAGTCTCCTGAAAGCAACAGGTACCAGAAAAATCTCTTTTTATGACAGAAAAGAGCTGGGAGAGCTTGGGAGTAACTGGCCAATTAGTCTGGATGCTTCATGTATCAACAATGCTTCTGTCCTGATGAAAGGGTTTTGTTTGGCAGCAAACAGTGGGATTTAGGAACATCTGTGGTTTAGAAGTCTCAAAATAAGCATCAGCAGGTTATCTCCACATATAAGGAACCCTCTGAATACAGAATACCTCACCCTGATACTGCTTAAGTACTTAGAAATATGGGGTTTCAGCACTGATCCCAACAGGCTTTAGTGCAAACTCCATTCTAAATGCTGGCAGATACCCAAGAGTAAAAGAAATCCCATCTTTCGCTAAAAAAAGAGTATGAAAAGGGAGAACAATAACACAGAGAAGATGGGAAGCTACTTGCCAAACTAAGTTATTTTGCAGGGCATATTCCTATCTCAGGCAATGCTGGGTGGTAATTTGAATCACAAAATGATAGAAGTGGTCAGGAAAACACAAATAAGCTTTTTGGGAAGAACAATCCAGCAAAAGGACAATTCTCTAAAGCCACAGTGTTCAGGCACCAAATGAAACGGAACATGAAACCTTCACTAACAGGCTGAAGTTGCCTTGTTAATGTGCCCTGCAGCCAGGGCACAGCTCTGCCATGCACCCACGAAGAGTCATGCCCACAGCCACTCCAGCTAGAGGAAACAGCAATGAAAACTCCCTTTTAAAAGCCTTTTATAAGTTCTTTAAACAGTTTCAGAGAAAATTCCATTTTACTTACCCCCAACCACAAACAAACTTTATCTGTAGGAGGAACTGAAGCTTTGCAGTAAAGATTATCTGCCAATAAAAATCTGGTTTCCATTGGATGTGTGGAATCCTTAAGACAAATAATAAAACTTAAAATTGCAATTTTCACTGGAAAACTATGTCAAAGACATAAAGCTTACAATAAAGAGCACACTTTTCTGCTTTTTGCCATTGATACAGTATTAACTTGGCTGGAACTCCATGTAACTCTACCACAACATTAAAATTAGAGCTCCAAGGTTAATGCATTTTAAAAAGGTATGTTTAAAAACAACACAGAAATCTCTACAAAGAATGGAGATGAAGTCAAAGCTTAGCTGCAATCTATACACTATTAAAAGTGAAGTTTGCATTACGAACATTAACTTTTTTTGAACTAGCTTTCGAAAAGTACTACATACCTTTAAAAACAATTCTGTTATTTATAAAGGCATATTAAGTGTGCTCTCCAAAACATTTCTTGCAATGTGTTCTGTTAGGGTGGAAAGGTCGTTAGCTTTTCTCATACTCATTAGATATTCAAAATAGTTTACCTTTTTCTTCTGCATGTGTTTTAAAATTTCTAATGTCTGTTTAATTTCGGGAATCTGACTTTTTAGCCTGTGAATTAACAACAGTCATAATTTATTATTTTACAGAGACACAAAGTTTCCTAAACAAGTGATCAGTTTTAGCATACAATCCAACCCTCATTTGACAACTTGAAACTTTTAACAGCTTTCCAGGCTTACAAATGCAGGTTTGAAAGACACAGCATGTAAAGGCAGCTCAGCTCCAGCTTCACCTGCCTCCCACTGCACCGAGGCTCAGCGGCTTCGGGAGCACAGCAACACATTCAGCTTTCAGACTGGAACAACACACAGCAACAGTAATAGACACCTCTGGGCTGAAATGGTGCACTCTGCATATTTGTGATCTCCATGGAGGAGAGAGAAACTTCAGCAGAAACAGATAACAACCACTGTAGGTACAACAAAACAAGTGTGTTTCTTCTGAGGCTCAGAGACTGCTCTGTCAGCTGAGAGCCACAGGAGTCACCACTGTTCAAAGCACAGCTCTCTGCAGAGCTGAGGACACCCCCGTTCCTGACAGCCCTCACAGAGGCACTGGATCCCCACGGCCTTCCCTTGCCCTCCACTGCAACCCGTGGGCTGACAGCACAGACTGCCAAAGCAGCTCCCAGGTGAAACCATGGGGGATATTTGTCCAGGAAAGAAGCTTAATCTATACAAAATACTACTTAAAGCTTTGACTTTAGCTTTTAAATAAAAATTTGTTTCTTGCCTAGCTTCAGATCGAGCCTGAAGCTGCCAAAGAGAGATGAGATTGCTAAACCAATACTCACAGGATTGACACAGTGAACACTTGACAAAGACGTGTTCTCATTACACTGTGCTGACAAAATCCAGAGGCTCCAGCAGCCCTTTTGGCCTTAAAGGCTAAGGATCAATTCAGCAACACTGTTAATTCTTTTACATGTAATTTTCAGGAACAGGAAAGAAAAAAGCTGTGCTGTCCTGAAAGTACTGCAAATATTAGCTCTGCTATTGGCAACTTTTTATTTCTTGTGATATTTAAAAAAGTTAGACTTATTTTTAAAAAACAGAACTGTGCTAAACATTTCCCAATTCTGCAAAGATTATGACTTACCTCCTTTTCTTTTGAGCAAGATTAAGTTCCAAAAATTTGTATTTCTGATACTGCTCATCCAACTTCTTAAGAACTACATCTGCTGTCTCATTTCCAGGCTGTTTCATAAAAGAATCTACATCTTCCTTTAAGGGGAGAAAGAAATCCTCAATGTTAGAAGACTTTTACAGAAATCCTAGGCACAGACGTTATCATCTTGCTGCAGCTACATCTCAAAGGGGTTTTATATATAAACAATGTTTTTTTTCTGGAGTGGAGTACAAAATAATTTAGTTTCCTGTCTTAGTCACCTTCTCTTCTCCCCCTCCCCCTTTCCTGGTAGGGAACTAAGGACTAGGTGCAAGAATTATTTCCTGACCATATTTGCTGGTACCTGGTTAGTGGTGCTTTCAGTCCTGGCCAATGTCAAACACCTAACAGGGATGGATATCCCCAGGGCATGGCTAAACCTGTAAAGCAGGGCTAATGCTTCTCCATGGATAATCAGATTATGAGCTCTTAAGGATAAAACTGATGAAGAAGAGTCACAGCCTGATCAAGCATGTTGTGGCAGAGAAAGACACAAGGGGGAACACTGGGCTATCTGCTCAGACAGGCAGGCTTTATGGCAGTGAACAGCTTGGCTTCAAAAGCTCCTTCCACAGTCAGCAGAAAGCCACAGAAACCTCTGGAGAACCACTCTGTCCAGTCTACTATCAACTGGAAAAGCAGGCAGAGAAGAGAGGCCTGAGATGGCAAGGATGCTGACCTCAGCATGTGCCTCCTACAGACTCCCAGGAAGAAGTTCATCTGCCTGGGGACAACATTCTCAGTCCCTGAAAGGTACATCAGGCCAGAGATCAACCACATGTTTCTGGACTGGTCCACATTTACCCATGTACAGTCCAAGATGACCCACTCATCCACTGAGGTAATTCTGCCCTTATTTGTCTACACAGCTCAGTAAACCCAATGGAAGCTTCCACAGGCCTCTTCAGCTTCTCCTTTTGAACTCAGTGTCTCCATTCCAGAAGTTTCACATCAAAAAAAGACTATAATACATTACTAAAGTAATACCACACATGGAGCTGCTTCCCCTCATTATGAATCCTAAGCTCTCTTGGCTGAAGAAACTTACTATGACATACCAGACTGAACCTGGTAAGTCCTCACCTTCTTATCATTTAGGAAATATGAACTCCACAACAGACTTCAGCAGGCAGCACAGTCCAGGGGGTACATCCAACTCAAGAGACCACACCTCAGAGTGCCTGAAGAATGCCCCAAGCTACCTCAGCAACAACAGACTAGAAGCATCCCTGCCTCCTGATACAGCCTGCAGGGAAGCTTTCAACAAAGAAAACAAGGAAGAGGTTCAGGCAAGTGTTGTAGAAGTGAGGCCTGAGGATGTTTTGAAATTAAACTCCCTCTTGTGGAAGCAACTCTGTTTTGTGTATCACCCAAGGCAGAAAGAAAAAGCAGCTCATCCACACCCTGCCTGGCACACACCTTTGCTCAGCTCACGTCTGTTTGGA